TCCATTTATGAAAACATCGACCACATTGACCTCACCTTGAAAAGACCACTTAAGGTCAAGTCCATATTTTTATCATGTGGCCCCCTCAAAACCATGCAACTTTTGTCTGAAATATTTTTTGACATCTCACTTCGTTTCCGAAAAATATGCCCGCGTCACTATAAATGCCTCACCCTGTATATAAAAAAATATAAATAAGTTTAACAATAAGAAATTTAATAAATATAATAGTTTTCTCTCATCTGTCCATAGCATTTACCTCATCCTGTGTAATAATGTCATACTCAAGAATAACTGTTATTTTGTTTCTAAGTAGAATTTTATCCACGAATTCTTTTATCTGAAACACATTATTTCGATATATGCTATTAAAAATAAATAATTTAATTTTACAATATAAGAATCGTAGACATAACATAAATTTTTTTACTTTTGGTATAATTGGAACAAGATAATTGTAATAAAAATAAAATATGTAAAATATTTATAAATATATAAGTTTAATAAAATGAGAAATCGATATAAGAGTCAGTATGATATTTGGATGCACAAAATTTACCATTTCAAGTTGTTCCTCAGAATATACGTGGTTAATAAGATCAATTAATACTGCAATCGTATTGAATTGTCTATACAAACGAAACAAAAAGTTATAATATATATGACAAACTTTTTTATGATATATTATGAATGGTATATATTTATGTAAAAATTACTTGGGTTTTACATCCGCAAATTTCGTTAATATGTAATTAAGCACTTCATCACGCCTTGCATGCATTTCAATAATATTATGAAAATAATAAAGATGATCTATGACTTGAATTTGATCATAACGATTTATTGGTACTTTTCCTAGCATTTTATATTTAATAGTGAAAACATTTGCCGAACAACTGAGAAATTGTAATAGTTTCCTATCAGGTTTCCATGTATATGTTTGCCATACTGTGTCCCAAGTCAGACTATTAGATGCTATTAAACCATTACAATACATCCAGTCTTTCCACCCTTGAAAAAGTCTACGACTTTAGAAAAAAAAAAAAATTAAAAATATGTTATAAAAATTTATAATTTTGTATCTCGTATTCTCATGTCATATATTTTAATTAATTAATTAAAGGCGTCGCAAAAGATATAAGAAAAATGTAGTTAGAACCACAATTGTAAGAAAAAGTACTTAGTTTCTGTAGAATTCGTGAGATATTTTTTCAATTTAGAATTGGCTATCATCCAGCATTCGTTATCACCGAGAAGACATATCCATTTAGCGGCTTCATGCCTTAAACATTTTGTAAGGTCGTCGTCTTGAGATGTTTCATCGTATTTTATTTCCAGAAGAAGTTTAAATAAATTGTTCAATAAATTTGTCTAAAAATTATTAAATAATATAAATTTTATACTGATATATATGTATATATGTATATATAGACATTTCGGTATACGATAATTAATAATCGAAGTAGAAAAATGAAGACTGAAGGAGAACTAAAGAGCTGAAAAAGCTCTTCCTTCTTTAAATTTTTTATTTTTTGGATAAATGAGTTTACGAAGAAGCATAATATTAAATATTGTTTAGGTATACACAGACACGAGTGCACGCCTGCGCAGATGTGTGTGCATGAGTGTGGGTGAGTAAGTGGGTGAATGAGTGTGAGTGTGTACAAATATGTAATATGTTTTTATTAACGAAAAAAGAGTTATTGAGAATATATTGTTATTTACCTTGAGTTTATCGATTTTTTCGCCTGGAAATGGTAAAATAGTTGACATGTCTTCAAGAGCTTTAAACATAGGATACCATGCCACATAATCTTTCTCATGCGATAAATATTTTATGAGTTCAAAAAATATGGACGATTCAAGTTGGCCGTTCATCACGAAGTAATATGCGTCATCAATAATTTGAGCACGATTGAGAATATGTATGTTCTTATATAGCGTAATATTATTCAAGTATTTCGCAATCTTTAACCAATTGCCAGATTCATAATTAACACGATAATATCCTGTCATAAATTATATAATACATTAAATTTTATTGATAATTAAATTTTTGGGTGTTTAGAAAGAGAGGGGGAGAGAGAGAGAGAGGGGGGAGGGGAGAGAGAGAGAGAGAGATTTATCAAGATATATCTTTATATATCTGTATCTTTTTTTTTCTTTATGTTGAAAGCACAGAAAAAATGTATAAAAAAATTGCGCCTTTTATAAACAAGAATGCAAATTGTATTATTTACCATAATTATATGATTTGCAATATTTGTATTATATTAATAATTGAGAGTTTTATGAGATTTAGCTGCGCAAAAAATCTTGAATAAAAACATAATTTTGGTTATGTTTAATTAATTACTAAATTACATTAATGACTAGACTACACTGTACAATATAATTTTGATCACGTGTTACATTTATATAAAGCGCATTTTTTATAGATTTTTAATGTAAAACTGTAGTCTAATCTAAAAACCTAAATTGCTTTCGCATAGTTTTTGCATAATTGTATTGCGCTTGAAAATACGTAATAGCATAATGTAAAGATTTTCCGCAAAACTACTATTTCTTTATAAAAAAGTTGCATGTGTATATACATTATTAAAGAATTTAAATTAAGTAGCCAAAAAATTTGATTTAAAAATTTGTTTATGAAACTTTGTGATATCTCTTAATGGTTGATATAATTTTCATAGAGTAAACGTGCAGAGATGGTGAGTGAATTTGGATGTTTATATACAGATATGAGTTTTATCTCAGAAGTAAAGCAGAAAAGTCTGCAACGTGATTTAAAATGCATATGATTCAGAATTCTATCTATTATAATATGTATGAAAATCAAAAAGTGATCGGTGAGGTGTTATCTTTTCGCAAGATTTACCATGTTATGTATTTTATTACACATAATTATGTTTATTCATTATGTAAGAAATCTTAAAATTTTATACTTTAAAAATGCGAATATCCGAACACAAAAATTTAAAAGTAAAATAAAATCTTAATTATATGTAATAAACACATTTAATCATAAAATCAACAATATTTACCCGTTTGTTGTAAATTAACTATTATCCATTCGTTCAATTGGCGAGGAAGAAACAATTTAGTATTACCCAAGAGAGTTATCCACCGTTCGTGACGTGGGATCGTCTGCCACTGAGATATAAAATCCAAATCCGTTTCTCTAACTATAGTTAAAGGTATCCACCAGTTCATATTCAATTCTAAGCTGTCGATATTTGCTACTGATATATTCAAATAAAGACTATCATGTTCTCTAACTTTCAATACAGGATAATGTTTTTGCCGTGTCCAAGAATCCAGTTTTTCTTTTATATTAAATTTTTCCATATTAGGTATTTTTATTACATCGTAGATAGTTTGCATAGCGTCCCAGAAATCATCCAAAGTTGTTGATCTAATAATAAGCTAACTAAGTTTTCGAAACTTTACATTTCTGGTATTAAACATGCATATAACAGATTTTGCATCAAAGAATTATTATTTAATATACGTGCATTGATACATTCCGTCTCTAGTTTTGCTTAATTTTATAGTTAGTATTTTGACACATTTTATCAAATTAATATATATATATATATATATATATTATTTTGTACGTATAATAATTTAAAATAAATTATAAAAATATAATAAAAATAATATAAGATAAAAAAAATATGCCTTGAAATAGAATGTCAGAGTGAAGAGAAAATGCAAAAAGTATTATTTTGTACGTATAATAATTTAAAATTAATTATAAAAATATAATAAAAATAATATAAGATAAAAAAAATATGCCTTGAAATAGAATGTCAGAGTGAAGAGAAAATGCAAAAAGTAAATGAGTTACATAAAAGAATATAGATAGGATATAGATAAAGAAGAATAGAGAAAACGTATATACATAATAAAAAACACAATGTAGATATCAAAAATAAAAAAGAGCAGAAGACACAATTTAAAAAAATTAATACAGAAAAAAATGGGATTACAAGAAAAAAAATAGATTTTAATAGAACAAAAATTATAATGATTAGAAAAGTTTTGAGGGAGAGATTTAAAGTAAAAGCTAGAATAACGAAAATAGAAGCAGTTGTCCGATAAGAGTAGAGAGACATAATAGCGAAACCAAAGGACAGTAGAAAAAAAAGGAGAGTGTAATATATTATAAGATAGAAATAGTATAGTTCTTGATATTATTTTAATTTCATATTTATTTCTATAATACGCAATTATTGTATTACTCACTGTTTTTTAAAAAATATCTCCAGACCCTCATAAAACACATCATCGGTAAGAATATGCCGTAACATGCGCAATATACTAGGTGCTACAAAAAATCACATCATATAAAATGTTTGATTATTTGTGTGTGTTTAAATACATTTAAATTAAATATATTTAAACATTTATATAGTTTTGTAAAAACATTAGCTATTTTAAGAAAAACAATTTTTTTTCAATTTTACGCATCAGTATATGTTTATATATATATTATAGATTTTTTCTCCATTTTTTGCAACAAAATTATTATATAATAATAAAGGAGAAGACAAACTAGTTAGCGTTTTTTTTCACGACATTTATCTTTATGAATATTATAGATAATAAAATTAATTATGTTTACTCACCCTTGATATAATAGGAAAAAGAGAAAAGTGAATTAATTTCAGAAGGTTTGTTGATCGTTGATGTAAGAGGCTCCATAATAGAATGGGTGTCCAAACGTAGAGATTCTTGTTGGATCTGAACTACATACAGTTCTGTTATACGAGATTCAGGATAAATCTGAAGATGACAATTTTGATGTGATTATATGTTTAATAGTTTCAATCGGAAG